CAACAAACTCACATGGAAGAAGCACATCAGCCTGTGCAATCATGAGGTGTCCACCGGATCAGGAAACATGCACCAGAAGACCCAAAACAAACAAACAGAAACATATTGTTGAGATCATGGGGGGTCGGAGCAGAGAGCCCAAACCCATCTGTAGACAATGGAACATGCCCTCACAGAAGGGTCACAAGGAAGGGACGAGTCAACCAGGGCACAGTATTGCACCAGTGAAACACACAGTATTGCTCTGATGCCTTGAGGCTTCCTCACCCCCCATCATGACCCCAACCCCGCCTTTCACTTCGGGCTAGACCGCAGCATGTGCACAGGGACAGATAAGAAATAAGAGCTCAGGACACATGGAATCCAGGAACAGGAATGAGAGTCGCGCTACCAGGAGGGTAGGGGGCAAGGTGGGGGCAGGAGAGAAGGAAGAGAGAACCGATCGCAATGATCGACACATAACGACCACCCCCACCCTCCCAACCCCAGGAGGACAATCAGCAGAAACCATGGGGGAAGGGAGGCAGTGGTCGGCTTAAGATATGAAAATAATAATAATTTATAATTGATCAAGGGATCATGAGGGTGGGAGAGAGGGAAAAAGGAACTGATACTAAGGGCTCAATAGAAGTAAATATTTAGGTTTGAGAATGATGATGGCAACAAATGTACAAATATGCTCGACACAATGGATGGGTATATGGATTGTGATAAGAGTTGTACGAGCCCCAAATAAAATGATTTTTTAAAAGAAAGTAAATATTTAGAAAATAATGATGGCAACATATGTACAAATATGCTTGATGTAATTGATGTATGGATGGTTATAAGAGGTGTAAGACACCCCCCCCCAATAAAAGGATCTTTTAATAATAAAAAAGGGACATTATTGGCCAAGTCAAAAGACAACTTATAGAATGGAGAAAAATACTTAGAAATCACATAGATGATAAGGGTTTAATATCCAGAAAATATAAATAATTACTACAACTCAAAAGCCAGGAGACATTTTCAAATGGGCAAAGGACTGAAATAGATATTTCTCCAAACAGAATGCAAATAGAGGGGGGAAAAGTCCCTGAAAAGGTGGTCAACATCATTATTCATGAGAGAAATACAAATCAAAACCACAGTCAGATAGATACCACTTCATACCCACTAATATGGCTTTAATACAAAGAAGAAAATAAGCCAGTATTTGGTGAGGATGTAGAAAAATCAATTGTCCATTGGGGCGGGAAATATAAAATGATGTAGCCACTGTGAAAAGCAGCTTTGACAGATCTTCAGAAAATCAGACTTAGAATTACCTATGATCCAGCAATTCTACTCATAGAGAGATGCTCAAAAGAATGGACCAAATCCTAATATACCCATGTTCATGGAAGCACTATTCACAATAACTAAAAGGAGGAAACTACCCATGTACCCATTCACAAATGAATTATGAACTACACATTCCATACATAGAATATTATTACAAAAGCAGAACATGGAAATGAAGCTCTGATACTTGCTATGGCGTGGGTGCAAACACCATGCCATGTGAAATAAAGCAGACGCAAAGACCAACGTTGTATGAACCCGTTTAGATGAAATATTTGGACTGGACAAGTGCAGGAAAACATCAGTAATTAATAGGGAGATGGGAGGCTAGTGCTTCCTGGAGACACAGTTTCTGTCTGAAGTGAAAATAGACTCCATCACATAAAGACAGGTATTATATGACCTGATCTGAATGATCTAAAATAGGCAAGTAGAGAACGGATTTACTATGGTCACCAGAGCAGCGGAGAGGGAGCGGGGAGTCACGGGTGAGAAGCACACAGAGCTTACTTTTGCGGATGGCGGTTTGGCAATGGATACGGGGGATGGTTACACACATAACTGGCGTGATCTATTTCATGAATTGTGCGTGTGAAAAAGTTGAATTGGCAAATGTTAAATTATCTATACTTTCCCGACAATAAAGAACGTAAAAAATAATTAGTGCCTCTCTGATGTCGGCATGGGCAAGCGGCATCTCTGACCAGTCATACCTGCCGAGTACAGAGCCAGGGAGGATGAAACCATGCCACCCCAGACAGGTGTGGAAAGCACAGAAAGCAGGTAGAAAGGCTTGAATACATTGGTGAGGGAGATTTTTATAGGGATTGAAACTAGTAATATCATTTTTGAAACAGGAGCTCTTGTATCAGAAATCCTATTGTCATACATCTGCCTTAGCACAGTATGGCGTGTTGTGATGCCATGGACCCATTGTCTTGGGGTTCTAGTTCATGCTTCCAGAAAGAAAGGCACGCTCCAGAGTTTGCAGTGTCCACCGCAGATGCACGTGGCAGTTGAGGGACATTTTGCTGTATTGGTGTTGACGCCTAGCAATCTTAAAGATTAAACAAATAAATAAATAATGTGTGTGTGTATACAATCATCATGGTATGTATACATGCATATATGTATTTAACATGCATGCATATACATGCTTTGAACTCTTATGGAAAATTTAATTACTGTTTAATCCTATGTTTCATAAACTTTTTGAGCCCCCCTTTGTGTGTGTGTGTGTGTGTGTGTGTGTGTGTGTGTGTGTGTGTGACATAAGTGGAATGAGCGTTCCAGAACACTCACATGTGCACATGTAGAACCTGTACACAAACCCAGAGGCTGTTGTTCACACCGAACAGGGGGATACTGCATAGCTTGTATTAGGAAGGGTGTGTCAGGTCGTATCTTTCCACCATACTCACTCAATCTGTGTGCTGAATCAATCATGAGCCATCAGAGTTGATTATTTGCAAACGATTGTGGTCTCAATTGGAGAAAGACTAACAACCTGCCTTGAGCACTTGCTGATGAAGCTCGAAGGCTGCAGGCTTCAGTAGGGATTGTATTTCAGCACCAGAAAGACGAAGATGCTCACAACTGGACGGAGCCAACATCTTGATGCATGGAGAGAAGATTGACGTTGCCAAGATTTCACCTTGCTTGGATCCACAACCATTGCCTATGGAAGCAGCAGCCGAGAAATCAAAGGACATGGTGCTTTGGGCAACTTTAAAACGTAAAGACGTCACTTTGAGGACTGAGGTGTCC